CACAGGTGGGAGGAAATGTATTGGCAGAGGATGTTTGATGACACTATGAGTGCATCTATGTAGAAAGGCAGAGGGTGTATCTGTAGACCTGTGGACCTGTGGACACTTTTCAGCGTCTCGCTGCTTTTATGTATGTGAATTGGGAGGATTCATTTCTCCTTTAGAAATAAGAGGTTGTTTAGACACTTTTCTTTATTTACATCTTATCTTCACCCATAGGCTTCCTAACTGTATTCATGAGATTCGTTTCCATTACAAACTTCATTTGTTCATTCATGGATGTTAAATCAGGGTTAGGTTCTGAGGATCAACAATGAATAAAACATAGCTACTTCCATATCTGGCTACTTAAAGTCAAGTGAGCATAACAGACAAGTAAACCATGTGATGAGGGGCACACAGTAGAACATGCAGGAACAGAGAACACGGGCATGCAGATCAGAGCCAGTGAAAGCCCAAACGTTTACACTCCACTCCAACTTTTATCTACCGAGTAACAAGAAGTAGTTAGTTAATGGGGCATAGGTCCAAAATCTGACTCCTGGGAGAAGGGCAGAGATACTACTGCCAGCTAGGGCAAATGAACCTTTCTAGCGAAAAGATGACAGTATGGATACGTGGGAAAAAAAAAAAAAAAAACCCACTGGATCTCTTGGCCCCAACCTTTGACACTAGAGAAGTGGTATGCTATATACTTCTCTGGCTCAGCATTCTTACCCACTGTTTTAATCACCTCTTATCTACAGTGTAGTCACAAAACAATAAATTGAATTCCTGTTTACAAAGTATGTGTGAGTGTCCCAAGACCATTATTTCTCTTTAAGAACACCTATAAAGTATGGTTTTGTACAGTGCAGGGAAGAGTGACTGAGAACCTTAGCAATATAGGTTGGTCCCAACCCTTGGCCTTGTGATGTCACAGATGTTGAGGTGCATATCTATCTCTGTGGAGGCCATCCTGAGATGGTAACAGTCCAACATACAGAAGTTAAATACTGTTTTGAGATGTGGAATCTTTATGTCTGTGCTAAGTCATAAGCTTCTCAGCCAAACCTAATTATATTTATGTTGCATTGACTAGCAATTACTACTTCTGTTCTAAGAGGGGAAAGAGAAGAAAAAAATATTTACATGCCTAAATTACAATGAAAGGAAGTTGAATGGGATGGCAGGCTCTGATTTTTGTGGCTAGGCAGAAAAACTCATGTTTTGTCAAAAAGAGGAAAGAATTAGATGTTGTGGCACAGGGTCCTTGGGGAGGGGAAGCTCTCAAAATTGGTCATAGTCAGTAGCCAGCCTGCCAGCTCAGCACGCACTTAAAACGCACACCCTCCTTAGGGGTGGATTCAGGCTTTGGGGAGGCCTAAAATAATATAATTTTGGAGGCCCTCTTTAAGAAAAACAATACAAAATGACAAGTACAAATTAGATAACAGTCTTGCAAGAGACCCGAGTAGGCGGAGGACCACAGAGCTGAAGTTTCATTAGTTTTACTCTAAATCCACCTCTAGGTCTCCTCACGTTACCACTTAGGACCTGGCCACTCCCATTGCCTTTTCCCTAGAGAAGGCAAATTTGGGGCTGTAAAGGCATAGGGGGTGCGGTTTATGAGCAAAGTTAATAAAAACCAAAGACATAAGACTATGCCAAATGGTGACTCAAGCGGGATATGAGAAGTGTCTGCAAGTATTTGAAGGGTGTCAGCATAGAGAAGGAAAAAGAATTGTTCACTGTTCTGAGGTGGACAGGGAAGGAGGATACGATTAAGTAAAGAAAAATGTGCGCAGAATTCATCGGAAACATTGGCTAACTGTATTTTCTGATACTGTGGTGTTGCATTTCCCATGGGAAGTACTGAAGGGTCTATTGAGTCACTGAAAACTGTAACTGGCCACAAAAAAATGTGTTATAGAAAACAATTCTATGAGATGTCCTCCGGGGAGCAGCTGGCTGCCCCTTGAATTCATTCTGAGCCCTGAATTCCATAAGGCTGACACACATGTTCTATAGATTAGTGTGTGGGGCGGAGGTCAATCGAAGAAAAAGAAACAGTCCAGCAGGGAGGAGCCACCGCCTCCACCCACATTTGGGGACTGGTGGAGGAACATGTGACTGAAGAGAAAAAAATCTGAAGAGGTGGTGCCACCCAGCGTTGCAAGGAAAAACACAATAGCCAGAAAACCAGCCCCCAATTCCACCACGAAAAGTGATCACAAAACTCCTGCTTCTTTCTCCCAAAGATGCGGGAATCCTGCCTGGGCACAAGAACATGTGTATCAAATACGCTGTTAGCAGTCTGAGAAGAGTAGAGAATGTATTGGGTGACAGAAGCAAAATCCAGAGAGACACGTTTGGCTAAAATGTAGACTAATTCAAACGCTCTGAGGGGAGCCTGTCTTTGATTCCCTAAACGAAAGGCACAAACACAGAATGGGGAAAACCATGACTTGATTGCTGGCAAATCTAGAAGACGTAGGGGAAAGGCAAGGGAGGACGGTATAAAGGGTTTCATCAAATGTAAGCCTCAAATGAGTCAAACGAGTGTTATTTTATGGTCCATTAATTACCCAGCTAAGTATTTTTCAGTCCATTCAGCTTTTTCCTGCTTGTTAAGTCAGAGCTATGACTTTTCAAGCTCCTTAGGTGCAGAAACAGAAACCAGAAGTCTATCCCTGGGTATATACTAAGAGCTTCCTAAAATTATAGATTCCTGGGCCTCACCCCAAAACTAATATGGAATCTCAGGGTGGGGCCAAGAAATCTGCAACTTTTCCAACCTTTCAAAAATGGTTCTGATGCTTAGTCAGAATTGAGAACTACTGCTCTTGAATAAAGGAGAGGACTTTACAATCAAGACAAATAATTACAACGGAGTATACAAAGTGTTATAAAAGAAGTACAGCGTGACAAGGGCAGAGAGAAGGAAACTGTTCTTGGGGAGAAAAGAAACATTTTCGAAGAATGAGGGACTCTAACACTAATCTTGATGAGAGGCGGGTCACCAGGTAAAAAGAGTCCGAAGACATTCCAGGTAGAAGAACATCTGCAAAGGCCTGGAAGATGAAAATCCATAGGGTGTCTAGGGTATCACAAGCAGTTACAGAATTGTCTCCCACCCTTGTCATCCCAATTAATTAGTACAATTTTTGAGGACAGAAAGAACAACTTGTACTTCTAGGTGATGGGCAGCAAGAAGATATGCAATCAACCCCTCGTTAATTTGTCAGATTATTTTTTTTAAGTTTTAGGAACGCTTTTTTAAAAAGTAAAAATTGTCATTTGCCTGAAGATTGGGGGGGGAATGGTAGATAGCCATAGTATTGCTGACCCTGGAATTTATTCCTCTCCTATCCTAGCCTACTTTATGCATCCTCAC